AAACTTTGTCTCTGATTGTGGATACTTTGTTTTTTCTTTCAGTTCTGTGTTGGATTATTTGCTGTTCCTACCACTTAAACTCTGTGCTGGAACTAATTTGTTGTCCTTTGCTTGCTTCTAAAATGGAGGAACTTCCTGTGGGGACCAGTACTTGAGCTGTGTGGTTGAGCTAAGTTGCTGCTTTGCTGCTGATTCCCAAGGGAAGTCTTTTTGTGCTGCTCGGGTTTTAATGGTTGACTTATAGGTACTTCTGGGTCTAGAGAATTCTGGTGCACCTGGGTTGTGTAGAAACTGTAGTCTGGGCCTGAGTTTTTTCATCAAACTGCACCCCATGCAATTCTGCATTCCTGACCAGTCTCCTCTGAGTGGTCTTATGCTGATTGGGGACCAGATCAGCTGTCCTTGCTGTGCCCCAGTGTTCCCCTGGTGGGCCTGTCTCCCCCACCCCGACCTGTGCTCCAGTCACTTCTGATGGGATGGGCTGTGCTCTGGTCCCTTGCAATGATTCACCGGCCTCTAAATGGCTCCTTTTTTTCAGTTGTTGTGTCTCCTCACTGCTCTGTGGGTCCACAGGAACCCTATTAGTGATCTTGCTGGTTTGGGGGCCACCAAGACCCTCTTCTCCCCTGCTGCCTCCAAGCAACTTCCTCTGAAGGGCACAGCTGCGGCTTTTGCCAGCTCCAGCTCCATGAGCTCAGCAGCTCCAGCCCAGAAGCATCTAGGATTCAAAATGGTTGGAGCAGTTTTTTTCTTTCTCTTATTATGGGTTCTCTTCCCCTCATGCACTCTGTAGGTCTCTCCTCCTCTGAGGTCTAGCGGCCCCAGCTTGCTTGTCATTGCTTTTTTATAGTTGTAAATTGGTTGCTTTGTCGGAGAGAGTGCCGCTGGGGACCATCTATGCCGCCATCTTGACTGTAAGTCTGGATTCATTTTAAAATTAGAAAGGAGGCTGTCAGTGAGAGCAGGAGGCAGGCAGGCCCAGCTCCCGGTGGATTGTGTTCCAAGACCTTCTTGATCATACGTGGACCTGGGATGGCTCTTCCTGCTGAAGTGAGGCCGTACACGGTGGCTGGGTCCCAAATGCACCAGGAGCTCCTGCTGCAGGCCTGGTAGTGAGGCAGTGTCTGAGGAATACCTGCATTGGGGCCCCCAGCTCCCTGGGTGTGGGATAGATGACACCCAAGAGGGCAACCACTGGTGGGAACGAGGGACCCAGGGTTCAGGGCTGGGGCTTCCATCTGATGGAAACCATTGTTCTCTCCCCTGTGGGCTCCCAGAGCCACCCTTCTTTTCTTTCCAGCATCCCAGGTCCTGCCTGTTTTTCTCTTCCCTTGTGTCCCAGCTACCGTTTTTATCCCAATGGGTATTTCTTCCCAATAATGTCCCTTGGGGTGACACAATGCAACTTCTTAGTCCACCCCCACCTCATCCCCATACTGCACAGTCAGCTCCTTTGCCATTTACTGTTTCTGTGTGTTTTTACAGCTAGTGACAAAGGAAAAACAGGAGGTTAAAATTAGCAAATTAGGGAAATGTTAGAGCATCAAGATGTCTTTTTTCCCCCTATTTTAGCAGTTTTTCTCTTTTACTTTTTAAATTTTTATTTTATTTGTTTAGCTTTCTGGAGGTATAATTCACAAATATAAATTTTATATATTACAGTATGCAATGTGATGTTTTGATATATGTATATATTGAAATGATTATTGCAATCAAGTTAGTTAACATATCCATCACCTTACATAGTTATCTTTTTGTGTGTGTTGAGAGCATTTAAGATCTCCTTTAGCAGTTTTCAAGTATGCAATATGTTATTAACCATACTGTACAGTAGATTTCCAGAACTTACTCATCCCATCTAACTAAAACTTTATACTCTTGACCAACATCTTCCCATTCCCTACCCCACCCCTACCAGCATCTGGCAATCACCATTCTACTCTCTGCTTCTATGAGTTCAACTTTTTTAGATTCCACATATGTGTGAGATCATGTGATATTTGTCTTTCTGTGCCTGGTTTATTATACTTATCATAATGTCCTCCAGGTTCAACCTTATTGTTGCGAGTGACAGGATTTCCTTCATATTTTAATGCTGAGTAATATTCCATTGTATGTATATACCACATTTTCTTTATCCATTCATCCATCTATAGGCATTTAGGTTGATTCCATATCTTGGCTATTGTGCATAGTGTTGCAATGAACATGGAGTGCAACTATCTCTTTGAAATACTGACTTCATTTCCTTTGGGTATATATCCAGAAGTAGAATGCTTGATCATATCATAGTTCTATTTTTAACTTATTGAGGAACTTCCATACTATTTCCATAATGGCTGTACTAATTTACATTCCTACCAACAGCTACAAGGGTTCCCTTTTCTCCACATCCTCGCCAACCCTTGTTATCTTTTGTCTTTTTTTTTTTTTTTTTTTTTTTGACAGTTAAGGAGATCGTAACCCTTGGCTTGGTGCCATCTGCACCGCGCTCAGCCAGTGAGTGCACCGGCCTTCCCTATATAGGATCTGAACCCTCAGCCTCGGCACTCCCAGTGCCGCTGCGCTCCCAGCGCCGCACTCTCCCGAGTGAGCCACGGGGTCAGCCCATCTTTTATCTTTTTGATAACAGCTATTTTAACAGGTATGAAATGATAGCTCATTGTAGTTTTAATTTGCACTTCCCTGATGATAAGTGATGTGGAACATTTTTTTCTATATCTGCTGGCCATTTGTATGTTGTCTTTTGAGAAGTGTCTATTTAGGTCCTTTACCCATTTTTTAATTAGGTTATTTGTTTTCATACTATTGCATTGTTTGAGTTCCTTATGTACTTTGGATATTAATCCCTTATCAGACGTATGGTTTGCAAATATTTTCTCCCCAAATATTTTGCAAATATTTTCTCCCAGTCTGATTTGTCTCTTCATTCTATTCATTGTTTCCATTGCTGTGCAGAAGCTTTTTAGCTTGATACAATCCCATATGTCTATTTTTGATTTGTTGCCTGTGCTTTTGGGGCACAGATATCATTGTCCAGAACAATGTTGAGAAGCTTTATCCCTATTTTTTATCTGGTAGTTTTATAGTTTCAGGTCTTACTTTTAAGTCTTTCATGTGGATTGAATTTATTTTTGTATACGGTGTGATATAAGGATCCAATTTCATTATTCTGCATGTGGATGTTCAGTTGTACCAACACTGTTTATTGAAGAGACCAGTCTTTCCCCAATTGTGTGTTCTTGGCACCTTTGTTGAAAATCAGGTGACCGTAAATGTATGGATTTATTTCTTGTCTCTCTGTTCTGTTCCATTGGCTATATGTCTGTTTTCATGCCAGTACCATACTGTTTTGATTACCATAGCTTTGTAGTATATTTTGAAACCAGATAGTGTGATGCCTTTAGCTTTATACTTGTTGCTCAGTATATTTGGCTATTTGTAGTCTTTTGTGGTTCTTTATGAATTTGGCATTGTTTTTTCTATTTCTGTGGAAAAATGCCATTGGAATCTTGATAGGGATTGCATCGAATCTGTAGCTTGCTTTGGATATCATGGACATTTTAACTATGTTAATTCTTCCAAACTATGAATGCAGGATATCTTTTAATTTGGGGGAGTCTACAATTTTTTTTAATAAATGTTTTATAGTTTTTAGCATCCAGATCTTTCCCCTCCTTGCTTAAATTTATTCCTAAGTTGGTTGGTTGTGTTTTTTGATGCTATTGTAAATGGGATTAATTTCTTGATTTCTTTTTCAGATAGTTCATTGTTAGTATATAGAAAAGCTACTGTTTTATAATAAATGTTTTTTATGGTATTTAATAGAACTAGGGAACAATCTCCCACTTCTCTATATTTTCTTCTTTACTCTTTCTTTTTAAAAAATCTTTTGACTCTTTTTTTCCTAAGATCTGAACCCTCTTTCTAGGGCTGGTAGCCCTAGGGATTTTCTTCTTTTCATCCATCCAGTGTGCCTGCCTCCCTTTCTCTTTACATTCATGGCAACAATCAGGAGAGACCACTGGGTCTTTTAGTGCTGTGAGGACCAAATAGAGTCATATGCATTCAGAGAGAAAATAAATGATCAACAAGGTCTGCTCTTGGTCAAAAGTAATATGTCGTAGATGTTTTAGAGAGAAAGGAAAAGAAAGGGATGATAAATTTCACCGAGGAAACCTGTGCTGTTGGTGGAGTGGATGGGTGAGTAGGAGGGGTGGGGATGGGGGGTGCAGGGAGAGGGCAATGGACTTAAACTCACAGCACAGTTGAGCCTGCCTTGGGAGATCTCTCCCCAGACTAATGTGGTTAAAGAGGGAGGACTGGCCTGGATGTGAAATAAGTAACCTTTACAATGATAAGGCAGTTTCCTTCTAATCTTAGTTTCTGATTTTTTATCAGGGATGGGTTTTGAATTTTAGCAAAAGCCTTTTCATTACCTACTGAGGCAATGATATGGTTTTTCTTATTTGACCAATTAATAGATATGAATCAATGGATTTCCTTCATTCATTCCTAACCCAATATTGTATTCCTAGGATGCATTCTTCTTTAAAGTGTATGCTGGCTTCTTTCAGTACACTGTGGATTTTGATGTGATAGTATCCGATTTATGATTTTCCTTTTTATGCCTGAGTAAACATCTGTGGGCTTTTTTCCCCTGTTTCCTTTTTTGTACTATTTTTGTCATTCTGGAGGGACTAAGGGGCCTTGTTCTCCTTCAGTGAGTTATGAGGGAAAGAGATGGGAATCCAAGTGGGCCCAGCAACAGAAATGGGAGTTGCTAACACAAGTGTGCATGCTTGGTAGATGCTTCAGTGTTTAGCCTCAGCAAATGAGCCTTAACCTGCAATTAGCATTGGGATCTGTGCCCTTCAGCCTCAGAGAGCACGCCTGTTAAAGAAGGAAGTAATTTTCCCCCAACCTCTGCCCATTCAAAGGCCTCATCAGTAAGGCTAGTAGCCAGCAACTAATTGGTATATCTTTATCTTGCTTTGAAGGTCTTAACATATGCACTAGTGGAAGTGCCACCTCATGTGAAGAATGTCTGCTAATCCACCCAAAATGTGCCTGGTGCTCCAAAGAGGTATGTGGAGGGAAAGGGGAGGAAGAGGGGAATGAGTGTTATGGGACAGTGCCGGGGAGGAGTGCTGTACCACAGCACACAAATTCACCATATGTAAAAAGTGTGTGCAGATTCTGCCAGCTGCCTCTTCGACTTCCACCCAGGGCGATGAAAACTCCGAGTTTATGAAATAAGTTAGTGTTGAATGTTAATCCTGTTTTAGGGAAACAAGGCTTTTCTTGCCTTTTGTGTGAGAACCATTTAGAACTCTTCTCTAAAGTTTTCTGATCTTTGGTATAAGAACTCCAAAAAACCTGAGCTTGTGCAGTGAGTTTGTCGCATAACAATTCAAAACATGCCTGGGTGGGTGGCATGTTGGTGGATGCTGGTCATCTTAGTGTGGCTTATTTGAGAATGAATGTTAGGAATTGGCCTTCATGGGATGATATTATTTGAAAATAATGGCTGCTGTTCCTTTCAGCCCTATAGGAAGGGATATAAGTTTGGGGCCATGTTAGGCATATAGATATCATAAAGCAATGCAAATATCAGGCCTTCGTGGGCTAATCAGGAAATGATGAATTTATAAACTTCTTGTCTTGAAGGAAATTTCAGGGTCAGTTTTCTAAACTGCTATTAGAACCATGGAGCGCAAACTCTCCTGCACGAGTGCACCGTTAAGGCTATTGGTAAGACAACCCAGGACTTGCTCAGTCTTTGCAATTCAGAGTGCGGCCCCTGTCAGGGGGAGAAGAGATGGCCCCTGGGAGGCCAGGGTTATTCTCCATCATGGCAGCCTTGGAGGTCTGGTATCCCGTTAACCTATGATCACATGGGGACCCCCTAGGTGCCACACACTTGGTCTCTAATCTTCACCACAGCTCTGTCGGGGGAGTGGTAATACATCTGTTTCATTGATGAAAATCTGAAAGGTAAAGTGATTCACGTGAGGTCTGGTTTTGAATCTGGCTTCCCTGTCGGGGAGAAGAGATGGCCCCTGGGAGGCCAGGGTTATTCTCCATCATGGCAGCCTTGGAGGTCTGGTATCCCGTTAACCTGTGATCACATGGGGACCCCCTAGATGCCACACACTTGATCTCTAATCTTCACCACAGCTCTGTCGGGGGAGTGGTAATACATCTATTTCATTGATGAAAATCTGAAAGGTAAAGTGATTCACGTGAGGTCTGGTTTTGAATCTGGCTGCTTGGACTTCTGAGCCCAAGCTCTTTCCTCTAGACTCTACTGCCTCTTACCATGTGAACTCTCTAGAACTTTTCCTGTAGGGAGTAAGATTACTAACCAAGTTACTTTTTGAGAGGAATCTCTCACATACGTAAACTCTTAATTACATTTGTGCTTAATTGTAGTATCTTTGTTATGAACCTTCTTTAAAACCTCGCTTTGGTTCCTGGTGACCTGCAGGACAGACCCAAGCTCTGCCGGCCCTGCCTTCCTCCTCACCGTCATCTCCGCCCGCCCCCAGCACTTGAGCCAGAGGGAACTTCCTGAAGATCCCCAAAGAGCCCCACCTGATGCACATCCTCATGGCTTTCCCTCTGCTGCTCCTTCTACCTGGAGGGCCTTCCTGCCTTTCCCCTCCTTCTTTTGACCAGCACCTTGTCTTCCAGTTTTTAAGAATCAGTTCAAGCCTCATCTACTCTATGAAGACTTTCACGGTATTCCCTCAGACACACCTGTCTGTTCGACCGTTCATCCATCCATCTGTCCATCTATCTGTCCATCTATCTTTTCATCTATTTGATGAGAATGTAAGTTCCCTCTACCAGAATGTTAGGGGTAGGGTTTTTATCTGTTTTCTTCATTGCTGTATCTCCAGCACCCAGAATGGTGCCTGGCACATAGTAGTTGCTCAACAAATGTTGTTTGAAGGATTTCACTGGATGGAGATTTATTGTGTGTCTGGTGCGTGTTGGCCATGTCTACCTCTTTGTCTCCCTATACTCTATACTCCTTCCAGAGCAGTTATAATATCTTATTGTGTTAATTTGTTTTCTTGTCTGTTACAAACTAAATCATCATCTCCATGAGAAACTAAATGGTCTTATTCATCTTGGTATATCTAGTATCCAGCCAAGAATCAGGCAGGAATTCATATTTGATAAAAGAGGCCTATTAAAAAGACGCAGAGTTAGAAAATCAAAGTTTAAATCTCAGCTTTGCCATAATTTTCTCTTAATTTCTTGATGTGTAAAGTGACGATGACAATCCTCACCCTCCGGCGTTATTGGGAGTATAGAATGAGATCAGTGCATGAGAGGGCTTGTGAATGGGACTGCTAATTAACTGAGCCTCCTGAATGGCTGAATGAGTTATCTAGCTACCAGCTGCTGTTATTCACTGATATTTTCTAGTGAAATGTGGGCAGTAAGATCTGGAAGCCAGGGTCCATTGTCTGTTTTACGTTTCTGCCTTTCTTGTGCTGGTGCTTCCACAAGTCTGACTTCCCGATGTCGACAGTGAATAAAGTTGTCTCCAGGAGCGTGTTATTGTCCCCACCCACACTTGTCTTCCCTGTCTAGCCCACTGGGCTTCCTCTGTGCTTATAGCACTTCCTATGATCCCTGCACTAGAATGCAGCTTTCCATCTCCTCTGAGAGTGAGCTTTCCCCAGGGCATGAGTGTGTTTCAGGGAGCTGGGTTTGGAGAGTTCAGGAATGGTTTTGATCAACTCCTGCCCCTTGGCCAGACAGAATAAGCGTGGCTGGATGACTTCTTAACCATGCATCCTGGGACATCATCAGAGCAGTAAGGTATCTGCTGAGAGCATATGGTGTGTGAGTATATTGAGAGCTGGCACTGAGTAAATAGCCAAGGAGGGCCAGGTCCCTATACAGCATGTTTCTGTGGATTCTGATCAGCCTGCCTGTCTCTGCATACCACTGTGGAATTAATCCCAGAATACACTCCATGGGGATCCCCTGCTCTACATCCAATAAAGACTTCCTTATTTCACTTCAGGTGGGCAGGGGGGACTCCTTACTTTTGCATATAGCACCCCTTGTAAGCTGATCCCATCCCTCCTGTTTCTGCTTCTCTCATGGGTGTTGTGTTTGAGTCAGCCTGTATTACTTTGTTTTCTAACCGTAGTTTTCCTGAGGGCTTCAGACTTACCCTCTGCCCTCCATGACCTGAGTGGCCAGACATTCCCCTCCTCTAAGAGCAGGGTGTGTGGGCTATTGCCTGTTCTCACCTGTCCACGCTGCCCTTCCTCTTGTCCTTCATGATACACTTGGGCTGTCCTAGCCAGCCTTGGCCCCCTGCTTCTCACCCAGCTTGAATACTTATGGTGCTGTTTGTACAGCACAGTATAAAACACACAAGAAACAGCTGGCTTTCACCAGACGTATTCCCTGGACTTTGGACTTCCTAGCCTTAGAAAACGTAAGCAATAAATTTTGTTTTCTTATAAATCACCCAATTTCAGGTATTTGGTTATAAGCAACAGAAATGGACTAATACAGAAAATTGGTACCAGGAATGGGGTGTTGCTTATAACAAATACTTGAAAATGTGGAAACAGCTTTGAAACTGGGTGTTGAGGAGGCTGGATGAATTTGGAGGAACAGGCTAGAAAAAGCCTAGATGCTGATGGGAGTCTAGAAGACAAGAAAACTAGGGAAGATTTTGAACTTTTTAGAGACTGGTTAAATGGTGGTGAGCAGAATGTTGATAGAAATATGGACAGTAAAGGCCACACTGAGGAGATCTTAGATGTAAATGAGAAGGAGTTTTTTGGAAACTGGGGCAAAGATCAACCTTGCTATGAACTGGCAAGAAAGTTGGCTGCGTTGTGTCCATGCGTTAGGACTTTGTGGAAATTGGAATTTAAGAGTTGTGAACCAGAGTATTTGGCTGAAGAAATTTCTAGGCAGCAAAACATTCAGGAAGCTGCATGGCTGCTTGTAATAGGTTACACTGAGTTATGGCAGCAAAGGCATGACATAAAGACAGAATTTAAAAGGGAAGCAGAGTGTAAAGATTTAGAAAATTTGCAGCCTGGCTGTGTCATATGGTAGAGAAGCTGACAGCATTCTCAGAAGAAAAATACAGTGGTGCTAAGAAGATTAGTACAAAAGAAAGTGATAATTAAGAGAAGGGGAAAAAGCTCTGGAGGCAGTACAGAAGCCTCTGGGGCCAACCCTTCCATTTCAGGCCCAAAGACCTATAGGGAGACAAAATGGTCTCGGGGAACAGGCCTGAGGCACCTTCCATGGGCTTGCTGCCCAGAACCACCTCGGGAAGCAGCTTCCAGCACCAGCACCCCAGCTGCCTTGGCTGCTCCAGCTGTGGTTAAATTGGCCCCAGGTGTGGCTAGACCTGCAGCTTTGGAAAATACAAGCTGGAAGCCTTGGCAGCATCCACGTGGTGTTAGGTCTGCAGGCTCATGGAATGCTAGAGCTGTGGAGGCTTGGGAGCCTCCACCCCAATTTCAAAGGATGTGTGGAAAATTCTGGGGGCCCAGGAAGAGATCTGTTGCAGGGGCAGATTCACCACATAGAGTCTTCGCTAGAGCAATGCTTAGTGGAAATGTGGGGTCAGAGTTGCAGCAGAAAACCCCCCAACAGTGCCATGCCTAGTGGAGCCATGAGAGTGGGACCACCATGGAGACCCCAGACCCGTGAAGCTACCGGCGTGCAATGCCAGCCTGCGAGAGCTGAAGCATCACCTGAGACCAGGAAAGCCATAGGAGTTGAGCTGCCCAAGGACTTGTGGACCCAACCCCTGCACCAGCATGCAGAGGATGTCGAACATGGAGTCAAGGCACATGATTTGTCAGTTTTGAACTTTATTGCCTGCCCTGCTGGGTTTCGGACTTGTTTGGGACCTGTTACCCCTTTCTTTTGGCTTATTTCTCCCTTTTTGAATGGGAATATGTACCCTATGCTCATCCCACCATTGTACTTTGGCAGTAGATAATTTGTATTGATTTCACAGATGGGACTTTGAACCTTTTGAGCTGAAATAAGTTAAGACTTTGGGAATAGAATGAACGTAAT